ATCCCAGACCAGTCACTGCAGCTCGTCGAACATCGTCGTTGACATCAGAAACCTAGAAGCACATAGTCTAATGTGATCATAGTAATCGTGTTAATCCTCCTCGCTAACGTAATTTATTGCCTAAGGCGCTGGAAGAAAAGACTGGTGTCTTTTAGAACATTTCTCTTACTTCTAGGACACCTATTATGAGGTGCACAGGTGGCAGAAGGAGTAATTTAATTCTTAAACACAGACACAACACCTCTAACAAGTTCATAGACACATTGGTCCTGATGACTGACGTCGACTACCAAGAAAAATACACATGTTTCGGTTCTTGAAATTGTATTGGTGGACATTTAAATATTGAGACCCAAATGATCTAAGCCTCTATTATATATTTAATTGCACCACAGATCTAACACCCCTAACAAGTTCATAGACACATTGGTCCTGATGATTAACGTCAATTACCAAGAAAAATACACATGTTTCGGTTCTTGAAATTGTATTGGTGGACACTGAAATATTGAGACCCAAATGACCTAACCTATATTTAATTGCACCATAGACCCAACACCCCTAACAAGTTCATAGACAGATTGGGTCTCATAACTGATGTCGGCTACCAAAAAAACACACGTGATTCGATTCTTGAAATTGTATTGGTGGAAATTTAAATTTTGAGATCCGAATGACCTAACCTTCTATATATAATTCTTCATCACAGACCCAACACCCCTAACAAGTTCATAGACACATTGGTCCTGATGACTGACGTCGACTACCAAGAAAAATACACATGTTTCGGTTCTTCAAATTGCATTGGTGAAAATTTAAATATTGAAACCTAACCTAACCTTCTGGGATCTGTATAGTACTCGTGATTATTTCGAGTACTCGAAATCAGTGGTTCTCAACCTGCGTTGAATATTCCCAGGTGGTTCGTGACCTGGACCAAATTGTATACAAAGGGATTTATTTTACACGAGAATCCTCTTTCAACGGATTTTAGTACGAGATATTTGGACATATATTTTCAAGTGGAATATGATTTCCTTATTCCATTATCATTAATTGATACTTGCTAGATAAAGTTCTCTCATATGTTGTTATTTTTATATAACGACCTTTAATTAATTGCATTATTATCGTCAATTAGAGATAATATTTTTTAATCTCATTGATGACGATAGAATTCACTCTCTTGATATTGTCTTTATAAAATGCTTTGAAATAAGCAAAGCATGCTAGTCTATCTAGCCTATCTAGTTCCTGCTTCTTTACAAGCAGCATTTTTCAAAGACCTAGGATTTAATGCCTAATTTCAATCATCGTACAGTTATCAACGTCATACAAGGTAACTTCGATAACGTTTGATCTTCCACGTCAATTAAAATCGATGATTACAAAGGCGCCAGTCGAGCGAAACAATTTATATTCGTTCGTGAAAAACAGAGGTGACAGTGCACTCGTATGGCAGAACGAAAATGTTAAAATTTGATCGCACGATGATAATTAATTCGTCATAAGAATGTTTCTTTTTGATATCTCCATATTTCTCTTGTGACGTAGAAATTATAAATATTTGCAATTTGTAAATTATTCCTACGTTAAATTCTAATTTAATTATAATTCCATTTTGAACATAATTTCATTATTACAATTGCAGAAGAATTTATATAATTTATATTTTTATACTAAATTCCATATTTTCTTCTTATATTTTATAGAATTCTAATTGGATAAGAATTTAATATAGAAATATATAATTTAATAATTGTAATTATTAAATTTTTAAATTTTAAGTGTAAGTTTCAAATTATTATTAAATAATTATAATTATAAATAAATGAGAATTTAATATGAATTGTGTTATATTTTTACACAAAATTATATTACATAATTACATAAGGATTTAGTATAAAAATATATAAT